TTATACTGGAAGAAATGGGCCACTCCAACAACGACAAGGAATGTAGCCCCGAGAGGGACGAATTGAGGTTCTAGCCTCAGATTGACAGACATCTCTCCCAGTTTCTTGCGCTTCAATATCTATTCGACAGAACCAACAGGGTTTCTGAGAGGAAAACTAGGGCAGGGCAAGCTGCCGGTCAATCCTCCCAGACAGGAGTAATCAATGCAGGTCAGGGTTCCTTCGGCCAGACGGAAGGGAGCGTGAGTGCATAACATGATGTGTTCAATTTTCACTTGCCGGGGAAATAGGAACCGGACTGACGCGACATGGAGCCAGGACCATAAGGACCTGATTTAAAAAATAATAATAATAATAATAATAATAATAATAATTCCTGTCCAGGGGGGCCACTCCGGCCAGAATGGAGACCCGCACTTGCTGGCCATGATATACACCAGGGGCGTTAAGGGGTACACCCCCCCTGGACAGGTGTCTCGGGCTGCAGGGGTGAGGCAATCTTGTGCTGTCTAAACAATGTTTGCTGGTGATAAGCAACCGGACTGATGGCCCCCAGAATAGATGGGCCTGGTGTGTGTGTGTTTTAAAAAAAAAAGAAACTCTAAAAAAAAAATAAATTATGTTTTATACATTCCAAAAAGAACTAAGGGACTCCATGAGTCTCCATCATAATTCCTGGGCTAGACCTCCAAGAACAAGAGGACGTGATACAGTGGCTTATACGCTGCCCAGAAGCAACAGAATACTGGGCTAGAGCAGCTGATCTATGGCTCCACTTATTCTCTTCACCTTTTCCTGAACACGCCATCCAGCTTCTTCTATGCCCAGAATGAACAGAATACTGGGAAGAGCAGCTGATTTATGGCTCCTCGCCTTGACCTGGTGGGCGTTGGATGCTTCCGGGAACAGACTCTGAGCCTTTGGATGTGTGTGAGCTGTGGCCATGGTAGACCTCTGGAGAATGTTGACGCTTGGACAACTGTAGCGGGTAGCACCTAACTGCTGACTTTCATATGACCTTGACCCCTGGAGTACCTGGGTGCCGCGTTTGTCTTTTGCCCCCAGTTGTCTACGAGGGCAACGCTTCAATGACATACATAGCAAATCCTCCACGACAAGACCAATATAATGCCACGAGAAGAGTGAAAGAAGACAATAGGCAGAGAGATTAGACAGACTCAAGGTGAATAGACAGACCGAGAAGATGAAGAAGAAGGAAGATGCAAGAT